TCGCATTTCGAATCAGTCTGTCTTTTAAATGAGTGGACAGAGACTGAGAAGGGATTGTACTTGGCTGCATCCCTTAGAGGCCAAGCACAAGGAGTATTAGGAAATCAGCCTAGAGAGGGACGACAGAACTACGGTAAACTAGTCAAAGCCCTACAGGATAGGTTTGCGCCTTTAAACCAGACAGAGCTATACAGAGCACAGCTCAGAGACAGAAGACAAAAGGCATCTGAAAGTTTGCCGGAGATGGGTCAAGACATAAGAAGACTCATAAATTTAGCCTACCCAACTGCTCCTGATGACGTCCGGGAAATACTCGCGACAGAACAATTCTTAGATGGGTTGCACAACTCAGAAATGCGTCTCAAGATTAAGCAGGCGAGACCTATGAACTTAAATGATGCAATACAGAGAGCTGTTGAACTAGAAGCATACAACAGAGCAGAGAGCCGTCGTATAGATGCAGTCAGGGTGATGAGTGAGAATACAGAGGACTCGTCTAAGGCCTCGAAACTCGATCATTTCATAGAAACAGTTGAAAAGAACATGCGTTCCTTACAGCGTGATATGAGAAGGAATTGGTAGAGAGGAAGTGTGTAGAAGTAGGTGTCCAGACACTTTCTACCATGCCTGACCCAGTAATAAGGCAGACCAAACTTGTAGATCAGGGTACTCAGACAGAGGGATATCATCGACGGGTGAAAGAGGTGACTGTAACTAAGTACAATGAGAACGGACAGAGAATCAAGCGTATTAGAGAAAGTGAAGAACTTTTTGATATGTAAATGGTGAATAGTCATCAGAGAACATTTGTAGACATTCTGTATAATTTCATGTTTGCTAGATAATGATACATAATCACCAGGAAGGTGATAAATACTCATCACTCATCATACATCTCATGTTTGATCATTCATCTGTTATATTGAAAAAAAAAAAAAAAAAGAGAAAAAAAAATTGTTTATGTTATTATTTTGTCATGTGGGGACACATGATACATTGAGGCGTGGGTAATGTGACGATCGGGCTCGGGATTCAATTATAGACGGGCTTTATCATTAGGGGTATGATGGAATCCGAGGTTAGTCCGGGTGTCGCTGGTGTATATATAAGAGCGCATCCGAGGTAGAATTGTCATTCTGTGTTTGGCTGTCGAAGGAGAAGGTTGCTAACAGGTACGGTGGTTAGAGTTAATAAAAAGAATTATAGTGTTAAATACAACTGCCCAGTGTTGTATTTTGTTTTCTAGCTTGTTACGGAAAATACAGTGGCATTTAACTGTATATACGAGCGGTGGATATATATCTAGTACCTGGCTGCAGCCTGTATAAGATCAAAAGGACACAGCCGTCTTGGGACACAGCCTACAGAACACATCCCAGAGACACGTCCCACGGACAGATATACAGGACAGAGCCCTGTCCTTAAGAAATTACCTGTTATTAGTTTTTATATTAAAGGGATAGATAACCCTAGATATATGTATATGTATATATTGACTCGTTCTTATATTAGCTTTTGTACATAATTCTTGTAATTTTGATCATTTTTATACATCCTCCCAGACTGGTCCAAATCATCGGACCCAAAACACGTTACAATACCTTGAGAAAAAAAAAGACTTGTAATGTACACAAATTAACTGTAAATGTGTCATTAAAACTTTAATCCCTTTTTACGAATTAGTATATAATATCTTTTATCATCAGACTTGCCAGTTGACTGATAATCAAGGATGTCGTCCGTTTGGATTGTTTGAATATCGGTTGTTGTGTTATAAGTTTGCAATTTGTTGCCTGAAATAATATAACAACCCAATGTATATGTAAATTCAATCAAAATCATTTCATTTAATGTGATTTAATTAAATTTCAATGAGTTTTGACTCATAGATGTATAACCTTTAACGATAAAAAGGTATTTGTGGCTCTCATTCAGAAATTTAATATAAAATAAACACATTCTTCGGGTAAGTTACAAATAATGGAAGAGCCCTTACAAAACATGTAGCTACATACAGTTCAATTTTATCGTGATTTTTTTTAATGCTTAATGACGTTGCACTTCCACGTTTGTTACGTCAAAATAAGAACTTTTCGACCTCTCTGTCCCTGTTTTAGTGCTTTGAATGCCGTAGCTTCTCACACACCTTATAAGCAAAATACTTTATTTTGAATGAAAAGTCGTTTTATGTCGTTTCTAAACATCTAAATTTACGGTACACTTTGATACTAGCCTGATTTTTGATTTTCTTGATTTAAAAAATGCCCAACAGAATTTTATTTTTCAAGCAAAGATTTGAAAAACTAATGAAAAGAGCACATGGATTTCAGACTGTGGGAAGTAGGGGCCTCACTATAACAACTACCGAATTCTATCTTGTTTTTAAAATGCACATTTATATATTATAAAATTAGCTCAAGTGTAACATTTCTTACCAACAGTAGTTTTTAGAATAGAGTTATTTAAAGGATATTTTCTTTCTTATGAGAAGAGCCTTGAAAATAATTCATTTTACGAGAAAATAAGATTTTACAGGTACATGTACACCTACGGACAATTTACAATTATGGACTGTTTAGAAGAGATACATCACCAATTATCAGGTCTGAATAAGGTTGTTAATTATTAAGATGGAGTAGAAAATGACCTCTTTTGTTCTCCTACCCACTGCTCCGATTCCACATTTTCAAAACATGTCAGCAGATAACTTTGACGTCAACGTTAGAATTCATTGTTTACCGATCCCGCATATAAGATATATAATAATAAATATGAGTTATCTCGCTTACGACAGTTAACTTATTTTCATCTAATGGGAGTTAACACAGTTGTCACCCTGCAGGTTTGCTTGTGCCATTTCATTGTCATCTGAAGTGAGACAACACAGCTGTCAGCCTGCGCATGAAGGAGACTGCACGAATTTTCTCCCCACATATGACATGCTTTAAACCAATCAGAATGACTCTATAATTCTGAAGGATAATTATAGACTTTGTAATATTAATTTAATTAAATGAAAAAAAAAAAGAATTATACTAAGTCTGAGAAGTAGTATATACAGTTCAAACAGAAGCAATATTTTAACACTTTTCCATTATGAAACAGAATGATAATAATATTCGTGATAACTGTTCACTGCCGCTCAAAAAATATCATTTTAACATTGAAGAAAAATGTTATCTAGCACAACAGCTTCGAGTAGTAATGACACGGACATAAATATCATAAAAATATAGATTAGACAATATTTTCCCACGGTCTCTCTAATTGTTTACCAAAAAACTGCAAATACAGTTATAAATTGTATGCAAAGTTACTCCCTTATTGATATTAGATGTTTCTGAGTATTACATAGGCAAAAATTTCAACGACCCGCCACTGTTTCTTGATTCGAAGAAAAGCTTTTGACTCTTTACCGTATAATTTTATATTAAAATTCAATTTAAAAGACAGATTGATAAATATGTAAATTGAATAATGATATATGAAACATTTTTAATAAAATAAATCATGAAAATAGCATGAAAAAGAAATATTGATAAAACAAGGGTGCCCTGTGTCTGATTGTTAAAATATAGTAAAAGAACCAAATTCGTTACGAAAGAATTTTATATACAACACATTTCTTCATTAAGGGACATGCAGTTGGTTCAAAATCAAACTTAGAATGAAACAGAGTGCCTTTTAACATGTTCTTCGATAAACACATTTGAAAATGACTTTTTTTATTGAGGGCATCAAAATTATCGGAAGTTTTAAATCCCTATAGAAGTCTATATTGACCAAGATAGAATTGAATGTAATTGAAACAGTGAACGAGAAAGTTAGAAAAATTACCTAAACCAAAAAAAATTACAGCTTGAAGAAACTGATGTCTAACATCAATCTTTATTCTTTTACTAGTACTCGATTTGGATTTTTTTTAAAAGATTGTCCTATCTTATAAACTACCAGTCAAATAACTGGTTCGATAGAGAAGTCTAAATTCCCTCTAGTTCCATATTAAGGTAAGTTCCCTTATCCCTGGAGATACGTAATTTTTGATAGGTATTTGGATCATCTCTAGGTGATGGAATAATAAGACAGTTCTCTTTATCTTTGAAGACCTTTAATTCTTGGTAGGCATGTAATTCATCTTTCATTGATTCAAAAGTCTCTGTGCTGGTAACGTATGATTGTGATTTTTAAACATGTTAGAATATGAATCTGTATCTGTTTACATTTAGACATTCCAAATTTAAATACCCGATAGAATGGTACACTTATTATATATGTACAAGAAGATTTGAATACCATGCAGTTTAAGAAATAACTGATTTTTAAATAATGATTAAGAGTACACAAAAAGTAAAAATCAGACATTTTGGTTTTTATGATTGTAATAAGTTTATTTTTTAAGATGCATTTCACAGAGTAATGATTTGTTAATAAGCAAGTCATCAGGATAAATTTACAAAGAACCTTGTATCATACAGTGTGAATTCATATTGAACCAGCATCCAGATCAGTAATATTAGCTTTCATTTATTGATCATAAAATTCAAATTTAATAAAGGCAGATTTTGCAATACATAATGCATCTTATTCATAATAAAATAAAGACAAATGAATACCATTTAAAAAAAAAACAGTCATGTATAATGCAAGAGTCAATGTGTTCTTTATTGCAAAGCAGTTAATTGAGAAGTGTCTGTCAAAAAAGTTAAAATATGCTGAAAAACTATTACAAAAGTTTTCATAAATTTATGAATTAATTATAAATAAAACAATAAATTATGTCCTGGTCAAGAAATGTTATTATATTTTTAAAAATAATAAAATAGTAAAGTAATGTTTTATTACAAATTTAACATCTGATTTGATCTTCAATTTTTTGACCCATCGAAATTCATTATGATTTCACAATTTTGCATTCAAAACATCGTCAATCAACGTATCCATTCCGTTCCTGTGATTTAAACAAGAACTAGATTTTGTTGATGAAAATTTAGCTTAGTATTCTAGCAGTTCGCATAAACGCTGTCATTCTGGATGTATTCTGCAACAGTATCATAACAAAGCTGGTATTCGTCCTGAAAGTAAAATATAAAATAAAAAATAATAAAGATTGAAGTGTTTAGTTTGTTTTATATCATCACAAAATTGCAAATTATGATTGTAGCTACATGGATATCTTTATTTTAAAAAAAAATACATTGTCTCAGGAATTGTAACAATCATCACTGAACTGGTAATCTATATTTGGGAAAAAAAGATCTAACATCTAACATACAAATTTGTAATCTCCTTGAATAAGTATTACTTTGCTGAAAGCATTCATAATTCAAAAGGATAGAAATACATATGCACATACCAAAGCTGATACAAACTCCGGTCTACGGATCTGTAGTTGCCGTGTGATGGTGAAGATGTCCACTTCCTGGTCCATTGAGAGTTGTTCTAGAGCGTTATAGACAACAGCAAATGCTCCACAACGTGTGGCTCCATCACTTTCAAGATAAACCATTATATGATTTAAGGATAAGAACAATTTATTTTTGCTGAATACCCTTAAATTTAAAGAAATTATGGTAAATATGGAATGATTTTGTACATATACGTGTACATGTGAACCTACATAATCTACAAAGAGTCTTAATTATAAGTTTGAGTTCAAAAAGCAGCTCGCTGCTGAAAAGCTTGAGTACATACTACAATATTGCATTACCTGGACAAAATTAGAATTTTTCCTTCGTGGTTGACCTTTTCAGATTTTGCTTCTTTAACAACATCCAGCAAAGCTCTTTTGTTCATTGTCTTTTTACCTTCTTTCCATGTTTTGCATTCTAGTACAACTACCTTTGTGTCACTTATTCCCTGCAATTAGGAAATTGATGAATTAGATAAATGAATACATTACGATAAATAACAATATCACAAAATTTTGTTCATAGTTTGAAAAATGAATAAGAGGCACAGAAACATTATTGCTTTAGCTAAGGCACTGTTTTCTTCAAAGGAACATGTACATATTAAATGGAAATCCTTTCTTGTTCAACTAAATTACATCGAAGCTTTCCGTACAGTTTCATTTTTATTATATGATGGCTTTGTATATAAATTGTCAAAATACAACCTACCATGTGCTGTAGCACGATGTTTCTTGTTGAAAAAATTGTTGAATTTGTTGACGCAGCTAGCTTAATGGAAAAGTTTCCAACAGTCTTATGATCAGTTTTTGATGGAACCCATATAGAAGACTGGGAGAAATTCGAAAAATAATCATTTTATTAACTAATCATATATAACCAGTATTTGATATTTTCCTATCTATAATATTTCAAGAATAATGAAGGAGAGCAGTGCTACTCTTTTCTTGAATAATAACATATCTTACGGATTTCAAATCCTTCAACGGACACAGAAAAACGGCCACATTGACGTCAAAATCCTTGATGAGTCTGAGAAAGTCTTCTGTGTAGACAGGAAGTGGGTACTGAGCGCTGATCAGGTTGTCATTTTCTGTAAAGGACTGGAAGACAAATAGAACTTTTTAAAAATATCTTTTTCCTTTAAATCCTAAATGTAAATATTGTAATCCAATAATGACTAATGTTAAAATGTACTAATGTTTACGCTAGTTATAGCATTATAATTTACTTTTACTTAACGTTTCATGTCGTTTATAAACATCGCATATATCCAAGGATATCATGGAAACGAACATTTTGAGATATGTATTTGTGTATATACAGTTCTTTTATTGTGCATTACAGTGTTTTGATCAATCTCGCCGACGTTTAAAAGTTATATTTTATCAATATTATTAAAGTGTTTGTTTTCTTTCAGTAAAAAGCGTTTCATACAGGGTGTCCAAGAATATATGATACCATTTCAAGATTCTGTAAAACCTAATGTAATGAATATTGAACTACAACAAATGCATTGTAAATATTGCATATACTGTCCAATTTAATTTACATAATTTGACAGTCATTAAAAAGAAAACAACAAAATGAGTTCACTTTGAAAATTGCTATGGTTTTTAAATGATGACCTCTAAATGACGTTCTATCTATGTAATGATAATGTCAAGTCATTTCATAAAATTCTTTAAATTGAGACAACAGTGCCTGTCTCGGTAGTAACTTCTGGATTTTCATCAGAGGTAAACCTTTTATATATGTTAAGGATTCTGGTTTGGGTTTAGCAGCAGTAACCTAAGACTAGAATTGATAAGTAAAGTTTCAAAATGAGGGTGGCCAGCTCTTTTGATAATCCATTTTGATTGAAATTGAAGTTTTTTGCAAAAGTTTGATGTAATTTGTTAGGACCTGTAAGAATTATTTTTGGAATATTTTGTTGGTAAAAAATTGTATTTAATTAAATATTTTTAGAGACATATATCAAAGAAATTAGCCAAGTGATGTGTTTGTGGCAGGTATTTCAAATGGTATCATATATCTTGGGGCACCCTGTATGATTTGGAAATTAAATCAGACCTGAAGTATAACGGCGTTGTAGTAGGTGTTTCTTCCCTTTGAATAAGACAAATGACACAGATATTCGTCAACTGGGGAAAAAGTGTGAAGAGAGATTTACATTAATTTGTTGTAATTTAAATTATATTTTTTTTAAATATATTTTTCTTGGTAAATTTACTTAATTAAAATCATTAAATGCATGTGTTTCAATGTTTTTCAAAACTGAATTTGATAGAAATCAGGTTAAAAATAATTTGAAATCTACGTGGCAAAACGCTGTATGTATAGTTGGCTGATTTATTCATGCGTCCAGTTTCATAATCCTTTTCTTCGTATTTCTTCCGGAGAGACAGTAACTCCTATAAAAGATCGTGATACATCATTAACGAGCATTAGGTCGAGAAAGAAAAAACATTTTTGTGGCAATGATTATGATAAAAATTTTGTTTTAATTAACTTGATTTACTTTATCAGTGATTGTAATGGTTTCCTCAGTTTTTAACAGTTTAGCAGATTATGATCAACCCTTTTTTTTAAACTGCAAAACAGCTGAGTAGAGGAACAAAAAGAAAGTAATTCTTAGTCTGACTTTTTTTAATTTTAAAATTATTTTTTTTTAATGTATTAATGTGTGTATGTGTTTTCCTACATTTATTTAAATATCGACGCTTTAAAGAGTTTTCTTTCAAAATACAATACATTGAACAATTTGGGAAAAAAAAGAGAGGACCCTAAAAAAAAAATAATAATAATAATGATAAAAATAACAATTAAAAAAACCAAGACAGTCCTTAAAAATGCTTGTTATTACTTATTTTTTTATTCAAATGAAGCTTTTTTGAAAAATAAATTAAAGAATGTGTTTTTTGTTTGAAAGGGTCGTGTAAATAACCTGGAGCTCTGACGACAAAGAAGATTTTGCCGCTGCTTCTCCACAATTGGTATAACAAGACTGTTCTTGTAGTTGTCGTAAAAATGACTCTGTAGTCAGACATCTGGATTTTCCATTGAACGATTCACAAAGGGCGAGGTAGACTGCTTTATATTGATCCTGAAAATTAACAAAATCAGGAATTAAGTGAAAATACGGAGATCTTAATATTTCACAAAGAGAAAATTGCGTATTTTACATTTACTCTTTCTTCATTCAAAATGCACGTATTGTGGCTGGCTATTTATCAGAATTTAGAAAATATAATTAATTATAGCCTACTTAGAAATTTTTCAAAAATGAGGAAAGTAATTAGCAAGGTATTCTTCTCATTGGTTGTTTTTGTATTCCTACAGCGCATTTGAATAATTTGTAACCATTTTATTTCTGATAAATACTTACATACACTCATTTATAAGAGAATTGTGTACCTCTACATTGTAAATTAGTTGTGAGAAAGATGTCTTAGAATATAATTACATTATATAAAGTGCAAATAAAAACAAAAGGTTAGGAAAAAAAGTAGCAAAAATTACAAGGTACTTGTAAACGAGGACTTCAATTTGTCAAACCATTGCGGAAAGAATTCCTGTTAAATAATCAGAAAGAGTTAGCCTTCAATGCAGTACATTTTTCACACATATTTATTTCCTTTTCTCATCTTCTTTACAATTCATTTGATAGATATACAAGTTTGTACATTGACATTATAAGGAAGGTGTGTCAACAGTTTTTTGTTGTATTTGAGTGTTTCTTCCCATGGATATCATTTGCTATAAATTGTCCTTAAAGAAAATTTCAAATTCATACAATTAAGAAAATCACATCGCTTTGTTTGACGAGTTAAAGGATTGGACAATTAAAGAATGTCTTTATGTTTGTTTTCTTTAATTAAGGAAGAGTTTAAAAGGAAATTTACACTCGAGGAAATTATTTTAAGTGGAGCAGCTACGTGACTTGATAAACATCTCCATGCAGATAATTCAATACAGGAAATATTATGTCAATAAAGTAACCCTCTTTCTGTATTTGCTATCTGAAGTTAAATGCTTTTTGAGTACAATAAACGCAGAAGGTTTTGTACCTTGATATATCATTCTATATAGTGTTTCTTCCAATTCTATAGAGTAAAATTTACAACACATTGCAATAAGTGAATAATAAAGCTATTTTGTTCAAAAACAAAGCTAAAGGGCGTTTTAAATCAGCTTTAGAAATAGATTATAGATAAAGTAAATACTTAAAATGTATACATTTCAAAAACATCCTCTGAACTGTACAGCCAATATCTACATTTTTGTAATGGGGATTCCTAGAGATTATTTTAAATTTGTTTTGTTGGGTGTTCAAAAGATCTTTATATTCGAAAATATGATTAAAACGTGTGAATTTAAAAAAAAAAAATAGACAGGGATCCATTTAAAAGGTTCAAGCTAAAGAAGGGAAAAGGATTATTGAAAATAAGAACAATGGGAACTGATATCTTGTATCAATGAAATAAGAGATGTTCGTTTCTATCACATTATAAATTTCTTCAAGAATTTCTTTTCTGTACTGTCTTCTGACTTGTACAGCGTGTAGGGAAATGTAGAGCAAAATGTCTGAAAAGTATTGATTTTACATCAAATGATGAGAAATGTATGCATACCGCTAGAACTGACTACAAACGCTGGATTTATGGATGGATATCGTCTACAATGCCTGTTGAATAAATAAAAATTAAAGAAAGGCCAGAAATAAGTAGTTCTTCTAAACACACTCACATCGCCTTGTATCATGTTCATTCTGTCTTTTCTCATTGTCCTGACGTACATTGGTACATTAACTTTACCATTTCTCGCCCCTTCTCGGTAGAGGGCGTCTAATGCAATGTACGTTCCGGTTCTGCCAATTCCTGCGCTGTAAATATTACAAGCGAAACAAAACTGACATGAAGTTCATAAAATATATATGCTTTTTTATTAAAATACTTTCATTTTTAAAATGGAAGTTATCTCGTGAATTTGGTCCGTGAAGCGGGTAATTGTCGCTGTCGATCTCATTTGTAAAGCTAGTCAAAATCATTTAAAACTGGCTGATGGTATTATTTGTTTTCAATACGAAGAAGTTGATTTTATTCATTTATAGTTTCACCACGAAAAAAGTTAATGTTTATCGAAAATCGACTGTTATTTATGCACTAAAATATCTGTTTATTCAGTTCTTTCACACTGAAATCATTGACATATAGGAATACAAATCATACTACAGAATCCAGTTATACGTATACATTGAGCAGCAGACACTGGATGAACATACACCATTCAGTCAATTGAATGGCCACTGGATGGTCTGGAAAGGTAACTGAATGACAATTCTCTGCCATTCAGTAACTTTTCAGTAGACTTTCAGTGATCTTTTAGTTAACTGAAAGGCAGAATTTTATCCTGTGAGATTGTGTCTAATTGACTCATCTGAAAACCTCTTTCTCTGATCTGTATATAATTTATTCGGGTTTAACCTTTCATACAAATACATTGTAACAGAGGATGACTGCACGTACGGACATACTAAATTTGTAACAAAATAGAATTTCAAAACGAAAATTTTTGTTTTAATTCCAGGAATGGTCAACATTTTAAAGGCATCTTTACGTATTTACATTAATAAAATTCTTGTAAGCATGAAGTTTGAATCTGGTTTAGATGGCGGGGTTATCCTTATTTCTATAATTTTAATACATAACTACATGTATAAACTTGTGTGAAAAAGAACAAACAAGCATGCGGTCATGGTTGAAAAGAGAGAAAAATCTGTTTTTCTTATGTTTTCTGTTTCTTTATTGTACACAAGTATTGCTTCCTATTGGATATAAAAAAATCACCACGTGATTTCTTGCCTCACTACCGATTACTTATTTCCGGCAAGTGACGTATAACGTGTTCTTTGATTACTTTAACATTGAACATACATGTGCAAAGCAGCAGGGGATTTAAAATGACCAAATATTTTATCAAAGCCTATATTATTTTAACATCCAAATTCTCTTTGAAACTGACCAGATTCTTTAGCAAAAAATATTCAGAAATGAAATTAGGAAAGATATTTAAGAAACAAAGGCAACTGAAAAAGAACCCTAAGTATTCTAGGTACACTGCGTTCAAGAAATTAAAGAAAAAAATACTAGTAGGGATATCGGTCTTTTTAAATCAAAATGTTCAAAATTTGTTTATTTCTTGCTAAATGATTTACAAGAACGTTAAATGCTTAATGTGTATTAAGATTTCGTTGGAAAAATTCTAAAGAACTCTGATTGTTAGAATTATGAATACTGAATGATCTCATAATGAGAGAGAGAGAGAGAGAGAGAGGTAATTTTAATACAACCTGCAGTGGACCACTGTGTATTTTCCAGGGTATTGTGCTGATACTCGCATCACGTGACGATGGAACACAACAAGACTAAGTGGATCAGGGACTCCATGGTCTGGCCATCGTGTGTAGTGAAACATCACTATATCCCTAGATGTTTTTTCCTGTAATTCCATAATGCAAACCATACATAAGGTGTTATTAAAAGATGCAATAACGAATATGAGTAATGTTAGATATAAGGTTTATTTCATATTAGTAACAATAAATGTAAAAACGCCTTCTTTCCTTAGAAAATGATAACTATAGAAATCAAAAAAATGTTGTAAGTTAATTTGATTTATAAAAATTAATATTGTTTCCAACGTTGGAATATTTCTCTTACTTATGCGGTAACGTAAAAAAAAAAAAAAATTGTACCTGATGATTGCTCCATCTACTTGTATATAACTGTAAGCATATTACATTTGGCTATGTATTGTATTTAGCGCCTTTGACGTAAAAATAAATAAATCAGGTACATCGCTAAATGTCTTGTATGGATACATTTATATCTAGTACATTCAGAAAGGGCTAAAAAAATCTACGCTAACTTGTAAAATCAATTTCGCTTAATATCATGTACTCTGAATACGATATATTAAATTTACAGTATTGGATTATACGTCATAGATGCATTTATTTTAATTTTTGTTACAATGCAGACGAAGACTTTTTGGAATATGATAGAAATTGTAGGCTTAAAGCTTAGATTGTTCATTATTTCCTTTTAATTACTTTCACATTTAGAAAGCCGGACACAAAGCAGATCAAATGAATATATTGTTGGCTGTTTATGACCTCGAGTCGTTTCAAAGTGGAACAGATCACCAGCCGATTTCTTACTGCAGAGCGCAAACAGACTGTTTCAAGTGTATATTATATTAATATGATATATCAGTCCTCACTTAAGGAAAAGAATATGTCAAAGATTTTTTTGTTACAAAAATTATGCTTGAATGACAAGTCCTACATGTATGTGTAGAGTTTTGTAAGGTATGCATATTAAGCAGATGTCATATTGATAGATATTATCTTTAATAAACACAATGTTTAGTTTTATGAACTTTATGACAAGGAGTTGTGGATAACCCCACAGTTTTATAATTTAACAAAATACCGCAACATAATTTTCTGTTTGTTATGAGAGCAGCAGCAAAATATAGATCAATGAATAAATAAACCCGAAGAAAACAGTAACAAGCTAACTCAGAGAATTTGTGTCCCCCTCTTAAGGAAAAAAAGGAGCATGCGCAGATCGGGGGGTGGGTGGGTTCTATTTGCAGAATTATTAAAAGTACATACTGAAGCAAATAAAAAAATATATATATATATGGGTTGGAACCCTTCCCCTGGATTGCAGAATTATTAAAAGTACATACTGAAGCAAATAAAAAAAAAAATATGAAATATATGGAGATAACGAACAGTATTCAAACTCAGAAATTCATTTAACAATACAAAATAGGAGCAGAGCAGACACGGACCTCCAAAACATCAGAGGTGGGTTCAGGTGTAAAATATATAGAATCGATTGCTTATTCTTTAAAATATGTACAGAAGATTCTTTCTATATAAAATATTCATCACGCTGTAATAATGATTTTATGAGAAAGTTTGTACACGCCAGACGTTATAACTTCTTCATTTCATATGTTGAATACTAGTATTTATTAAGTCAAAAAAAAAAAAAAAAAAATAAATAAATAAATTAAAAAAAATAACAAATCGTCCGGGATTTGAACTTGGGAACTCTCACAAGTTAAGCGAGAATCCTACCCCTAGACCAACGAGGCGCTTCACATTGATTGATTGTATGTTGTTTTACGTCCCATTCGAGAATTTTTCACTCATATAGAGACGTCACCATATACCGGTGAAGGGCTTCAAATTTTGACCTTTGCTCGGCACTCAGGGCCATTGAGCAGTGAGGGATCTTTATCGTGCCAACGCCTGCCGTGACACGGGGCCTCGGTTTTTAAGGTCTCATCCGAAGGACCCGCAACTTTCACTTCAAAGTGCCGAGCGCATGGCGAAGGAACAGTTGCTACCCATTTTTTATCGACTTAGGTCAGTCGCGGCCGAGATTCGAACTCACGACCTCCCGATCACGAAGCGAGTGCTCTACCGACTGAGCTACCGTGAACGGTCGCTTCACATTGAAGCAAATTAAATACAAAGAGCAGGTCACATATACATGTCTACATTTACGTTCGATATTGTCCAAATTTACACAACACATAGGTCTAATTTAGCCTTTACCAAACAGTTCTAAATGTAATAAGAATACGAGGTCCGCCGACAACCTATATTATATGTAATAAACTCTAAAACTTTGAGCGTGATCGATGCCAACAAATTTCCAATTGACTTTTGAAAAAAAGACCAAAATAAAAGAAACGTGTCGGGACTCTTTGAGAGGGGCGAGCGGGGCTATAGGAAGCCATAGGGAGTTATGGTATAACATTTCATTGCAAAAGCTCAAAAGCCTCTTGAGATATCGCCCGGAAACAAAAGTGTGCACGAACATGCAGACAAAATGTATGAATTACGATCTTGACCTTTGATCTTTTGACCTTAAAATCAATAGGGATCTTCCTTAGGCCATAAGGGGATGTGGTATAAAATTTCTTTGCAAAAGCTCATGCAAAGGCGTCCTCTCAATATATCGTGCGGAAACGTGTTGAAACAGACAGAATTTATGACCTTGGCCTTTGACCTCAAAATCAAAAGGGGTATTTTTAGGCCATAGGAAATCATGTAAATTTCATTTCAAACATTCAAAAGCTTGTCTGCATATCGCGTGGAAACGAACGTGTTAGAGATAGAGAGAAAGACGGACGGACAGAGAGACCGAAATTAATATCCTCCACTTTCAGTGAAAGCAGGAAGAAACAAAGACCATATACCATATAACATCAAAGGTCTTCTTTTCTTCATTTTAGGCAAATACTTATTTAATTACTGCGAGTAAGTGTTTTACAATAGAATTCGAGTCTGAAAGTCCACACTTGAATTCCGAACGATTACCAAAGCAATAACCCATAGCTATTTTTTAAAGATATATAATCAGTCTTAGAACGACCATTTTATAGGGTTTTCACATTTCACTGAATAAGACACCAATTCATCATAACTTTCTTAAGTGTTGATTTTACCCCCTGATAACGTCAATTTTACTTTTTCCTATGGAAAGACTTAAGGAGCATTTTATTTGTATGAAAAAGAGGTTATAATGATTTTAAACATGACTGCCGCAATTGTCCCTTTTTTCAAATGTTGTTACAATATATTTCTTGTGCAGATTTTTTATTTGAAAATTAGAGTAAGTAAACGCCTGTGTATAGTCGTGTACTTGTTTTGATTTTCACGTTAAAATCACTAAACATGCATTAATGAAGGACATTTTTAGGAATATTTTGTGCCTTATGTCACTAAAAAAAATGTCTAAATACGTTTCACTGAAATTTCACGAAATTGTTTTTTGAAGGAAAAGGACAAAAATGATATATATTCGTATCTCAAAATATGTGTATACGCATTTTTTTCTTTCTTCACGAAAATAATCTTTAAATTCTTAACACTCAAATTAGGAGGTTTCCTTAACTCCTAGAGATGGACAGAGACAAACTGAAACCATAAAAGAAAATTATTCTCATTTTCTAATGCTTCGTCCTTCTTACACTTATTGGAGCGTTTAACCCTCCATTTTTTGTATTTCTTTGCATACTTTTTTGACCGAATTCTCGTTAAAATTCATTGTCACGCAACAATTAGTGGAGAAATATGGCAATGTATTTGACCACTGTTTGGATGATAACAGTTGAAACTGAGTAACTTTGAGAAGTTGTCTAAGTTAAATTTCTAAATAATTTCAAAAAACTTGTGAAAACACTTATGCTTACATTCCGATACCTGTAGAATATCTTATATAAAAAAAGAAACATTCGGTATTACACGATTTTAAATCATTACATCGTATACACGTTTGTGTCGAGCAGTTTTCGGATAAATTCTAATTTAAAGCATCAGGGAATACACATTTAAAGGAAATTCGAAGTACTTTGATACCTTCCCTTAATCGGAAAGTATAAAAGAGGTGCGCACGCGTGATTCTCACCTCTGATTTACATATGCTTATTCGTTATTGTTGAATTTTCGCATTGCATAAGCTGCAGTCTTCTTCTTAAAGCAGTTTGCATATGCTATATATCAAAAAATGATGGCCGATACATTATTACATTGGGTGTGTTGCAAAACTCAAAATGGATACAATCATAAAGGACATTGGAAAAGAAATAAAAAGGTAGGCTTCAACAACGTACTTGTTTATAGTGGCAAAGAATGAAGACTTTCGACTTTGTTTTTAACTGACCACACTTGTTTTCTTTTACTAAAAAGTTTACAGGACTGAATCATAGATATGTTAGATCTTTTATCCTTGCAAGAATTCAAACTTAAAACATCCAAGATGTTGTTTTCCTTAGATTTCAATTAACGATGAACGTATGATGCAATCAAAATAAATAAAGTTTATTTGATAATTTTTAAAGTTATCATTATGCATCTTCCTTGAATGTTTGAGTCTAAAATATTGTATGGTACTGCATGATAATGGTTATTTTGTTCCATGTCTAAGTAGAGCAGAGTTTGTTCAATCAAAATCTAGAAATTATAATTCTGCCTATGCTTTGCACCCTGGCTCCTTTCAAACCTACAGTTTTGCTGGACGGACGTTTTTCAAAGTTTGTGAGTTATAAATAAAACATGTTAAAAAAAATTACATATTTACTTGTATCCATTGATTGAGTCCGCTGGCTCTGTGATGTATATAAAATTCAGAGTTTCCATTCAGTTAACAACACATGTTCATCTTTTAAATATTATTTCTTTTTGTCAGATTAAAAATCAATTCACAGGGACGTTAATTGCATTTTGGTGTCGGCCTCATTGTACTTCATACTTAGTATTAAATATGATTATATCTGATTCCTAGGTATAGTTTGTATGATCTCACATATACTGTATTTGGAGGGCCTTCCGTGCCTCTGTGTACACTAGGATGGATTTAATTTTCCGTCAATAAATCCATAACAACAAAAATACACAAAACATGAATCATTTAAATAATTATGACTTCAAATTCAATCTTTCTTAATTTGATTGAAAATTCAATAAGCTAGGGAAAAAAAAAAAAAAAAAAAAAAAAAAAAACAGAATAACTTGCCTTCTTTTTCATTGATTTACCATGAATGTATATTTTGGATTATCACAGATTTTGCAAATAACCGATAAAGATAATCTTTTATCAGGACTTTATAAGGGTTGCGTAACATTTACTCACTTTTCATTATTGTTGAAATTGGTTTCCATAATTCTGAGACAGTACTGACAAAATTAAATTAAGACTTCCTTAATGTCGATTTGTCATGTTAACGTTTGTTAAAAATACATTTAAGAAATATTTTGTGACGACGACACTGTTAATTATGGATCGACTTGCTTCTTGTGATATACTTTTGATTTGACTATTTCCATGCTCTGCAGAATCTGACACAACTGCTTCTTATTAAGAAATTTAACTACAGAAGGACATTAATAGCAAACTAACAATTATACTATATGACAAACGAATGACTTTAAGTTTTCTATCGTTAACTTCCGTTTTTTTATATTATAATATACCATTATCCCCTAAAATTGAGGTTTATGTATAACAGTTGATTCAATGCGCAAGAGCATGTTCTATGTACCAACATTTTATCAAACGAGGCAGGCTACTGTCAAACACGTTAATGATAAAAGTATATCTGAAATCTCTTTTAAGGTCGGGATTTTGCAAAATAATATGATATTGTTTCTAATTAAAGTCTGGCCTTAAGTCGAAAGGTGACTTATGTTTTTCATATAAATTGTTTAAGCCATTAGATTCACACTGCGTTTACTACGGATTTCTCAGTTTACACAATCACAACAAAGAACACACGACGGGTATGACAGGTCGACAAGGAGATGGGTTTTTTTTTTTATAGCATCTGATTTGATCCCATTAAATGTTTTCTGTGCTCATTAATTATCGTGCTTCAGTGGAGTTTGACTATGATTATTGCTGCGTTATCTTCATATTTTATATTTCCTCGTCAAAATTCAAATGCGAAAAATTTACAATGGACAATCTTATTTATTCGTATAACCCTTACATACTCGTATATAATAATTTTTTTGGATTTTATGATGACTTTTTTTAAATTTCAGATTTCAAGGATGGTACTATTTGAAAAAAAGACGTCCGAAAAATCCAGTGAAAGAAAAAATAAATAAGACGAATGTATAATAGCGGACTAAATAACACGGTTAAATTCATTTATCATAACTTTGCTAACAGATACTCCAACATGCAGTATTCTTTTCTGATCATAGTTAAGGTAAAGTTTGTCAGTCATATTTATTTGACTTCACTGCATTTTCATTTTGATTTCAAATATTTTTAGTGTAATTTTTATGGGGACTTTTAACAAGGACTTTAATGAATTTACAAAGCATGAGAAAGATTGTACAATTATTTTACCTCGTTGGCCTCATGGACTTTATCAGAATTTCCTTATAAATAATATATAAAACGCCCTTTTATTGTCCCTCTACCACATTGTCAACATATGCAGTTATATATTGACAACTAACCTTAAAATATAACCTTAAAATAAATGGCAATCAAAGGCTTTAAAGGATTATCAGTTCACAATTATTTACATCATTCATATCAAAGCAATATATTTTGATCACACTTATAATAAAAATAAATTTAAAGGATTTTTAAAAGTGATGTTAAAGTATTAAAGAGTTCACCGTCGATAAGGAAAATCTATATAACTTCCTTCTTTACCTAAGTCAATTAAGTCAAACCTACTTTATACTTTTGTTTGTAACCTGTGATGATGTACTCAATATGATACACGTAAATGCGAAAATTTAGAACTGTAACCCTATTGAGGTTATCGCTGGATAATATAAATTTTTGCCTTAACACGGAATAGTGATTTATCACTGTCAGTCTCCATGTAATACTGGTGCAAGAATGTGTCGACTAGTTTATTTTTTTAATGATTACAAAAACTAAGAGTATAAAGTAAACAAAGTAGTCAAACATTGGAACCTGATTTTTACCAAAATAAATTCATTAAAAAACATGAAAGTAATTCCGAGGCCTTACCATACGTTTGTTGATATTGAATCGTCTTATTGTGTAATTAGCGTGACTTTTCTCTTCTAGATTCTTTACTTGAATATCACCAATCAGTTTGTCGTTAATTTCTGGCCAATATTGCGCACACTTAGTCTAGAATAAAAATAAAACAAGAAAAAAATCAAACAGACATATATAAATAAAAAACTAGAGGTACTGTGAGTGAACGAAAAAAAAATAATGCCATATCGCATTCTTTTTTAAAATACCCATTAAAATTTGTAAGTGTGAGCTCAAACTTGTCAAAGGAACCTTTGTTTAAAAAAGGCACATTTTCAGACCATTAGTAATCTTGCAGTGAAATATGGAAATGCAATGTTCCTCAATTCATAGACATGTTATGAACTTTAAACGTCTATACACCAGTGACCTTGAACGTGCTTGGATGACTTTGAGTCAAGATCATCACACAAGTTCCGGTTATAAACAATCGCTGTTCTACGTAGGAGCTACCAATGATTATTTATTACAATGTTAAAGGGGAAGACAATAATTTTATACTTTTCTGCATTGACCTTGAACTTGCCGGAATGACCTTGTGTTAAGGTCCTGACAAACCAAAAAGACATAAATAATATTTGTACAAATTATGGGCTTCCAAGAATTCTCCATAACAAGGTTATACCCAGACACAAATTATTTATTTTTTCTGCCATTGACCTTGAACTTGCTGGAATGCCATTGGATGAAGGTAATGACTCGCCGTCGTATCATATGCAATATCTCTACCAAGTATGACCTTCCAGTAATTCTCCTTTTAAAATTTATGGCCCGGACAAAAGTTTTATACCTTTTTATGCCAGTGACCTTGAACTTGCAGAAATGATCTTGAGTTAATGTAAAGAGACACCTTTGGATCATATGCAATATTTGTACAAAGTATGAACTTCCAGTGATTTTCCACAACAAGGTTATACCAAGACAGGGATTATTTATTTTTTCTGCCATTGACCTTGAACTTGCTGGATTGACCTTGGTGAAGACTTACTATTTGATTATAAGCAATCTCTGTACCAAGTATGAGCTTCCAGTGATTCTTCACTACAAAAACAAAGTTTTTACCCAGACAAGATTTTTTTTTTCTGTCAGTGACGTTGAACTTGCCGGAATGACCTTAAGTCAAGGTCATAAAAACTGTTTGGATATATCCAATAATTGTGCTTACTTTGACCTTCCATTGATTCCCATTACAAAGCTATGACCCGGACAAAAGTTTTATATTCTTTGATGCCAGTGACCTTAATCTTGCCCGTATGACATTGACATATCGTCAAGACTCGCTCTTGGATCCGATGCAATCTTTGTAACAGGAGCTTCCAATGATTATCCAAGCCATTGAGACATATAACGATCTCTGTAATAGGTAATAACTACTAGTATTCTCCATTACAGGATAAAAGATTTAGCCCAGACAAAAGTGTTATACCCTTTCTGTTACTGACCCTGAAGGTGCTGATATGCCCTGGGTCAAGGTCATGACACGTCATCTGATCATAAGTAATTCCTGTACCAAATATTTCTTTACAGTGATTCTCAATTAAAAACTACATGTAGCCCGGAAAAAAACTTTATACCTTTTTACCAGTGACCTTGAACTTGCAAGAATTACCATGGGTCAAGGTCTGACAGGCCGTTGGGAAATAAGCAATTTTGTACAAAGTATGACCTTATAGTGATTCTCCATTCAAATGTTCTGGTCCGGACAAAAGTATTATACCAAAAACGTGAGCTTCCAATGTTTCTCTTTAACAAAGTTATAGACAAGATTACACGGACAGACCGACATGGTGATTCCTACATACCCCACCTAAACTTCGTTTGCGGGAGGTATAATTACTTGCTGAAATATATCTTGGAAATACAAGTTATTTAAGTTACACGTGTGTCTCTTATTAACATAAACACAAATGTCCTTCCTTAAAACGACAGTGAGGTCTTAGCTTAAATGTAATTTTAGAAGTAATTCATCAAACGTAACTTGAAAAATAAGCAAAAGTTTGATGTATTTGACATTTTTATGAAGAATGGTTTCATTATGTATTTCAGAGATTAACAGTAATTTGTAACAAACCTTTTCTCCTTCTTTTAAGTTTGTCAAACAGACTATGACTGACACATTCTCCTGCCAAATCATTTTCCAGAAATCAGAAATTGTCTTTGGTTTGGGACCTTAAAACAGATTGACAATTCACCTGTAACTCATAAATATTAGAGTTCCTAGTGTATATTAATATACGTGTATCTACAAATAAGCTAATAATAGCTTACTTAACTTTAAAAAAAGGATTTTGTTTTAAGGCGCCACAGACATTTCTTTCGCTTTTTATTTTCTTATCAAAAAGAATTTTGAAATCACAAAATTTTACTTAAATCAATAGTATCAAAACGTACAACTTTTCAACACTTTATACAACCATTAGCCATGATAAATTAAAGTCCAGGCTTTTTGACATCATAGACAGCTGCTTTTTCAATAAAAATGAAACGCGTAAATATACTTACCTTGTCATTGGTCATTTACAGAACTATTTTGTTAAAAAGTACTCTGATTGTACACACGAGTACATTGAAGTTGATAGTAAAAAGATTCTTCAGTTTCTTTAATATTTTCATTACTTCTGTCAGTGATTCTTTACTACCATCTAACAGAATTGAAGTATCATCTGCTAGTTGTGATATTTTCTTTTCCATGTTCTTTACAGTTATTCCCTTGATTTTTTTTTTATTTTTTCTTATCAGAATTGCTAAAATTTCTGCACACAAGATAAAGATATAGGGTGATAGAGGATCCCCTTGTCTACAGCCTCTCTGAATGTTAAAACTTTGTGAAAAGTTACCACTCTGATTAATCGTGGAACTTATATTAGTATAAAACAATTCCACCCATTTTTGTACTGAGGGACCAAAGTTAAAAAACTTCAGGGAGTTCTGAATGAATTTTCATGGAATGGTATCAAAAGCTTTCTCAAAGTCAATCAATAGCAACAAGCCTGGTATATTTTCCTCTTCTGTATACTGCATAATATCATAAATCAAACGTGTATTTTCTCCTATGTACCTATTGGAAATAAAGCCAGTTTGATCGCTATTTATTAATTTGTCAAGCATAATTTTTATCCTATTAGCAATAGTACCTGATGCAATTTTGTATACAGTATTTAGGAGTGTTATTGGCCGCCAGTTTTTGAGAAAATGTCTTGGCTTATCTCCCTTTGGTAAAAGTGTTATTATACCATGTCTCTGTGTGATAGACAGTAGATTATTCTCATATGCATAGTTAATTGATCTGACAACAAGATGTCCAAGGTATTTCCAAAAAACTTTAAAAAATTCTGTTGAAAAACCATCAGAACCTAGTGATTTGTCTGATTTCATTTTACTTAGAGTGCTAGAAGCCTCTTGTAAAGTTATAACACCTTCTAATTCTTCAGCTTCTGCATTAGATAACTTTGGAGTATCCTCAGTTTTTAGATCAGACTCAAACTCTTTCAAATTTTGACTTAAAACAGATTCAGAATATAATTTCTCATAAAATTTCTTTGTTTCTTCTAAAATTTGTGCTTGATCATGAATTATCTCTCCTGTGTCTAATTCTAGCATAGGTATTATTTTACTAGTATAGTTCCTAGATTCTAGAAAACAGAAATATCTTGTAGGTTTTTCTCCTTCGTCTACCCATCGTGCCCTACTTCTTACACATATACCTTATAATTCATGTCTTCTTAAGCTTTCAAATTGTTGTTTTTTGTTTTCTAAATCTAGAACATTTTCATCTGTAAGATTTTCTTCCAGGTGTTTTATTTCTTCTCTCAATTTTTTTTCTGCATTATCAGTTTTCCTTTTTAAGTAGGAAGAGTATGAAATACTTTTGCCCCTCATTTTCATTTTAAGAGTTTCGAGAAACAATTGATCATTTATAGTAAAACATACATCTTTATCGTGAAGAGAATCTATGTATTTTCTTTCATAAACTGGTACAGCATACTGCATTTTAACATTATTGATTACCTCTTTAATGCAATCTAAGTACTCTTTGTCCCTTAATAGAGAGTTATTAAACTTCCAAAAACCTCGTCCTTTTTTAAAGTCATAAAATTTTAACACCAAAGAAATCATGGAGTGATCTGATCTATAGCTAGTTTCAATGTCACATTTATTTACGCAGGGCAGGAATGTTTCTGACATGACAAAAAAATCAAGTCGACTTTGTTTGAAAGGTTTTTTTTACGCCAAGAATACCTTCGATCTTTTTCATGAAGTTGTCTAAAAGGGTCTATATATCCATTGCCCTCCATGATCTCTAGCAATTTAGTTCTAGCCTTTGGATTATTTACATGTTTGTAGTTAAAATAGTCTAATTCTGGATTCAACACTAAGTTAAAATCTCCACACCATATAACATTACTACAATTCATGTCCTCTATATATGTTTCAATATTTTCAAAAAAATCAGGAAGAATCACTATTTGGACCGTACACCTTACATATTACTAATTCATGACCCTGAATACAAGGTTTTATAATATGAAAATTTCCATCTTTATCACCTTTCTCTGATATGACCTTGAAATCAGAGTTGTTATTTACGAGAAATGCAACACCTCTGGAATTACTCGTAAAAGAACAAAAAAAGCATTCATAACCCCACAAGTTTCTCACTTCATTTTCAATTTCAGATGAGAAAAGAGTGTCTTGTAAACAGTATAAGTTATATTTTAGTGTTTTTAAATAATGAAAAACATCTCTACGCTTTGCAACATCACCCAGACCTTGACAACTAACTGATAATATTTTAACTTCCATCAAAACAGAGTTCCGGCATAGAGTATTGACACCAACTGGAATTCATTCTGTGTAAATGTTTGGTTTTATGATACTTATTCTGAAAACATGCCATAAGGAAAAAGAGAGGAAAAGAGTGTATGAGAAAGAAAACATGAAAAGAAAAATAAAAAAAAATATTTCGCGTCACAGTAATGTCTGTAGAAGACTTCACTGGCAATTTTCATACCATTGACCACATGGAATGTCGTATAGCTCACAACCGGTTGTTTATATGATCATTATAATATAAAGAACCCGTGCGTAATGGAATAATTTCCGGATTAGAGGTTTCACTCCTGTTCGTCTTTGAGATTTAATTTTTCCTCAATATCATCAAAAATATCAAACACAACCTTTTCACTCCGCACTTGACCATAGATGTGTCCATTAAAATACCATGCAGCCTTGATCCTGGGGTTTTCGAGAAGATCGTTTATAAGTTTGCTGTTCAAGTAGGTCACATCGTCACTGAGGCGAATCGAAGAATTCGTGTTTTTTTCATTGTTGATCTATGTATCATAATCCTGGTCTTGGCTGTATTGTTTTTCATTTTCATCAGGATTGGCTGTTGATACCCTTGTCTTCCCGGAATACGATGTATAGCTATGATATCATTCTCCGTAACTTCCACTCCAGTGTTTTCTTTAATAATATCTTGTGCAACCTTCATGACATTTTCTCCCTTATTTTCTTTCACCCCATGTATCTTAATGTTATTTTTTCTCGAATATTGTTCATTCCAGTTAGATTTGGCTAGTGCTGATTTAGCAATTTGCTTAATTTCATTGTTTTCTGCTTTTAGATTTTCTATGTCGGATCTTTGATTGTCAATAGTTTCATGTAACGATCTTATTTTCTCCTCGTACATTTCTTCCATTTCTTTATTGTGATTAGAAATGATTTCTTTAACGATGGTACTAACAATAATTTTCAGGTCATCCTTTTTCACAGTTTTTTGACACTTTCCTTCAGAGACTTTAGATCCGCCAATATACTTTTCAAGATCTCGTCACCCTCCGATTGTTTTTCACAGATTGTATCATCACTAACACTGACATTAGCACTGACATTTGCAGATGCACTCCTAGCATTAGCCCTTTTCTTTTGACCTTGACTGCCGGACATTTTTGAAAAAAAAAAGTTTTTTAAAGCACTGGTGATTCTTCAGTTTCTGATTGACAATATCTACGTAGGTTTTGGAGATCAGGTCCTCCAACAATCTGTTGGAATTCCCATGGGAGCCAATTGCACCCCCTTATTAGCAGACCTATTTTTGTATTCATATGAAGCAGAATTTATTCAAAAACTTCTACATGAGAAGAAGAAAACACTTACTGTTGCCTTCAACTCGACATTTCGATATATCGACGACGTATTATCAATTAAAAATAGTTACTTTCATTCATAAGTCGACTCGATAGATCCCAGTGAGCTTGAAATAAAAGATACCACAGATTCTGACACATCTGTTTCATATTTAGATATTTTACTAGAAGAAGACGTTAATGGTAGACTAACAACAAAGCTTTATGATAAACGTGACGACTTCAACTTTTCAATTGTCAACTTCCCTTACTTATGTGGCAATATACCCTTATCAACTGCATATGGGGTTTATGTCTCTTAGTTGATTCGATACACAAGAGTATGCTCTACGTATGAACAATTTTTAAAACAGGCAAGCTATTGATAAACAAGCTGATGAAACAAGGATATCAACAGTCCCGTTTGAAGTCACCTTTTCGCAAGTTTTACGGTCGATACAATGACCTTGTCAGCACATACAACCTATCATTGAGTCAAATGCTGACTAACGTTTTTCATACTAATTGTTAGGCCATTATTACGAGGGGTGATCAAAAAGTTCGCGAACTATCTGTATGTTTAAAAAACCACAATTCAAATCAGAATTAAATTTTGCACACACATAGTCATACACATGTTCTATAAACAGCAAATGTTAAATAATGCTTTGCTTCGTGTTTGTTAAGTCACAATGTGAAAATGACGTCAGTATATAGGTCACTTGTGTCAAAAAATGGTTAACTCAGTCGTACTCGAGCAACGAACGGCTGTAAAGTTTAACGTATATCTCGGAAATTCTTTTGCAGTAGAATATAATAATTTGTACAAGGTTTATGAAGACAAACGACTTACCAGAAGTTCAATCATTAATTGGATTGAATGTTTTAGTGAAGGCAGGGAGATGGTTAAAAATGATGTTTGTTCTGTTGTCCAGCGAAAGCAAGCCGGTAAAAAGATGTCCTTAGTTGAGAAATTTGTTTTAAAAGATCGCCAAGTTACAGTAAGAAAAATAGTTGAATATCTGAGCAATAATATAATTATCAAATCCCTAAAATATCGTTTACTTTAGACATTAAACATATGAAATATGAAAAAAATAAGGCGCCCATACTTTTTCCACATTGGATAAACGACGCTCCTGAGACAGAGGACTCGGGTTTTGAAGGTCACCATGCTAATTCTTGGAAGGAATATCTTTATCCACCTATCCTATTGCCGAGATTTGGCCATTACTGACAGATGGTCTGTTCTTGTTATAAAAAATTACTTGCATGGTAAGAAATATAAGACTCGGAAAAATCTCTTAGCTTCTGTGAACAGACCGCTACGAAACATGTCACGTGACCGCCTGGATCATGTGATTCGCGCATTGGCAAAACAATGGCAAATGTGCATTAAATTCGGAGAGGACTACTTTAAAAAATAATGAACACTGAAACCTCATTTTATTTTTTAGAGAAGTAATTCAATTAGTCGCGAACTTTTTGATCACCCCTCGTATACACTGAACTGTCTACGGGATTCCTCCGTTATTACCCGATCATGACAAGGAGCACTCGGCGGGTGTGACCAGTCGGCAGGGGATGCTCACTGCTCCATGGCACCTGATTCCACCTCTAAATTTTGAGGTCAGTGTTTGCTCTGCCTAAAATTTGCATCGTTTCATTGGACTTTCGAGATTGAATATTGTTCGTTATCTTCATATTTCATTTAATATTAGAATTTTTCATTTGGAATCAATAATATAGATCTTTTATTTATATTAAGGAAGATGTTTCATTGTTTTATCTAAAGTTTTATTTGTTCAATCTTAAAACATACAACGAATACAATAGAATTGGAACCATATGGAATTCTTCCTATCAAATGTTTTTTTTTTTTTTTTTTATCTTTGGTGTTTACCACTTTGCCGAATCTCTTTCGCCGACTAACAACGTCAAAACATGGCAGCTAAAAGTAGTGCGAAATACATTTTTTGTCCAAACTATTATCAGAACTGTTTTTATTTTCATGTGAAGCAGAATTTATTCAGAAACTCCTTCATGAAATAACTCTCTTGCTGTTTTTCTCAAATTCGGCATTTAAATAGATCGACGATTTACTTGTTAACAATATTCAGTTGCATTCATTATATTTCATTGAACTCAATATTAATGACACCACAGTGTCTGAAAAATAAGCTGATGATACAGTCATGTTGTTTCGACTTGATACAGTACAGGATAGGACACACGCACGATATTAGATTCAAACACGATTCGATAGGAAACGTCTTAACGATAGACGCAAAACCAGGGGGTGGGGGGGGGGGGGAAACAAATTTGTATTTTTTAATGGCGAAACAATTTGTTCCAAATATAATGGAGGAAAGAACACTTAAATGAAAACGAAGTGTGTTTGTAAAACACTGATGTCCTCGTCTAGCAACTTTCTCAAATGCAAGTTAAACTTAAGACCAAGAGAACAAAAATGTTGGTAACCTAAGGAAGGTCTTATCTTGAGGAATATATCTGTGAAATATGAAAGCCCTTACACCATCCATTGAAAAGTTATGCAGAAGGTTAAATTTTATCCAAAAGTAAGTCAAACGTCAAGGTGAAGGTCCAAGGGTCAAATCTAATGGTACCTATGGAAAGGCATTGTCACAAGAAACTTAATACATATGTACATATGGGAAATTTGAAAGCCCTAGCAGCAATCATTGAAAAGTTACGGCCAAAGTTAAAGTTTTTGAAAAGTAGGTCAAACTCTAAGGTCAATGTCAAAGAGTCAACCTGTTTGGTATCCGAAGGAAGGTTTCGTCAAAAGGAATACACATGTGAAGTATTTAAGCCCCAGCACCAACTGTTAAAAAGTTATGAGCAAAGTTCATTTTTTTTAAAGTAGGTCAAACTCCAAGGTCAAGGTCAAAGGATCAAAGTTGTTGGTATTCAAAGGAAGGTTTCGTCTCAGGAAATACACTTGTGAAATATGAAATCCGTAGCCCAAACTGTTCAAAAGTTTAAAGATTAAAGTTTGATAGAATTTTGCAAAACTGGGTCAAACTCCTATGTCAAAAGGTCAAATACGATGGTATCCAAGATAAGGTCTTGTCACACGAAATACACATGTGATATATGAAAGCAAGGGCTCTATCCAATCAAAAGTTATGGGCAAGGTTAAAGTTTTTGCGGACAGACAAACAGACAGACATACTTTATGCCCCCGAATCTTCGATTACGGGACATAAAAAAAGTTTATAGACGGACGGACAGATAAACAATTAGTGAATTTTTGCGAGAACTGTTGACTTTTACTTTGACATTTAAACTTGCATTATATACAGAGGCACGGAATTAATAAAAGATAAGAATACCTTAATAGTGGTTACAGTCATAATGTTTGGGGCGCTCAAATGATATACCGGTATACACTTAACACTAGAGATGATGGAAGGCATAATAACCTGACTCAGAATACCTTACATTTGAGGTGCAGTACCTACTTTCAATCTAAATTTCTGAAGGAATCAATTAAAGAAGGAAATTCAATCCGGAAGGAAGACTTAGCATGAATTAGACGGGAAGGGGTTGGAAATAGGGTGATTGTCGATCCCTTCCTAGACAATGTAAAATCTACTTATTTTTGGCCTACAATTATCTTCTATCTTTCTAGTTCAAATATTTATATCACAAATGAGCTTTCGTCTTTGACTGTAAAACTCAGCGCTTCTCACAAGAGTCCACATGTAGTACTTGCAGGACAACGGGTGTTAAAAAAAGCTCAACTTTGCTCAAAGTTCAAGTTTAAAATTGCAAATTGGCTATGATTCATGAAAGGTCTTGTAACATGTTATAAACAAAGTCCTTTGAACTTTAAGTAAAAAAGGACTTCAGTGTCAGGTCGATAGTCATATTCCTATTCTACAAAATAATGTCAAAAAATTGCAATGTACATGACCACTTAATGTGAAAATCATGTTTCTTGTATGATTCAAAGAAGTATGAGAGAAAACCGATTAACAAAACAAGTGAACTTCCGAGTTGGAAGTAAGAAGATTAATGATCGTGAACGTTTCAAAAAAGACATATTGGCCCCTTTGTGCATTCAGAGCAACACAACATATCGACATCTTAAATGATAGGACATTAAGATCAAGGGCGCTAGATGGAAACGGAAATCATTATTGCAATTAAGCATAGTCTAAAAATTGTTGATTGCGGTTTTGGCAAAGTATAAAAAATAATTAATTTTGGAAAAGGCAAAATACATTTTCAAATGAATTAAGCAAAAAAATTTTCACTCTAAAACAACAAACGCACAAATAGAATTATCCCAAACTATGACCATGAAGCTTTCTTTCTTAAATTAAGGGGAAAAACTTTCTTACATAATTTTGAAAAAAAAAACCCACTAATCATCAATAGATATTCATTGAAAATGTTCAATTTAGTGAGACTAATCACATACCTTGTGTTGCAATGTAGGATACTTTCCCAAGTACATCCTAATAGAAATAAATAAAATTTTCACATCAATGATATATTCATGAATATTAGCGATATCATCCATGATTATTATATGATATTATTGTTTTGTAAAGGTTTTCCAATATAATTTATAAATTATTGCATTATTTATGTGTACTCCATTGCATGTTTCATTGATGGAAAAGCTAATGCCCCAAAAAATTATAGTTTACTCAGTGGCGTTCAAGTACGTGTATCGATAAACGACCGTGGTTTTCAGAAGAAATAAAGATGATATTCAGATGATGTAAATATTACCTCACTAGAAGATGTTAAGAAAGATGTATCAGTGATCATACAGTTACTTACTTCAATATAGTTAGCATTGATATAATTTCCTTCATTTGGTTTTAACGTCTTCAATTCAACACGGGAGTGGTCATCTAAGAAATAATTAAAATATGAATATATATTTGTGTTACAAAGTACCGGTATCAATACATTTTATGTATAAATAAATCATAGACATACTTACATGGGAATGTGGTAGTATATCTATTCTTCACTTTGTTTTCGGTTTTTTTGCCTTCTTCACAGGGATGAAATTCGCCTTTCGGGATATCCTACGTCAAAAGGAAAAGCATATATAATAATAATAAATATTAATAATAATGAATGTGATACTAATTTTCTTTTAATTAACAGAATACATTGATTTTAAAGCTCCAACATAGAAAAATGAGTGAAAACTTTCACAAATGAAAGTGTAGCATACACGATATTCCTGCTTAAAGCCTTGATTTTCAGTTGCTGACATTTTGGATAGAATGGAATGTAAATTTGCCACAGATATAGTCTTATTAGTTGGTCGTCCTCTTTTAGCTGGTTCATTCGGGATCCGCCCGGCATCAGTAAAATCATTTGTCTGCATAATGCTTAAATCCTCACTAACTTGTCTTTCTTTCAAATAAGATAAAAATAACTGGTATATCACATATGAATGAATCACGGTATAAATTTTGATTAAAACAATTTTTAGGGACATGTTTTAGCTGACTTTGAAATATTCTTTTAAACAATTGTAATTACATGTACTTTAAACAGCAATAAAGCCTTTAATTATGCTAATTACGATGTAACTTAAAATGGATCAATTTAATTATTTTCTCAACATTTCATGAGTTATTCTATCTACTTGCCATCTGTCACTCATGGTCAGAACTGTGCTAATTGTCATTGTTATATTTTATCATTTATATGTTACATGCAACATTGTTAATCAGTCAAGCCCTAGGTTCTGGATTGTTCGGGTGTAATATTTGGATTTCCAGAATTCGCCCTACCGACCTAAGCTTATAATAAAGTGCTATTCCATCGTTAGCATTTTTATCCTTGATTGTTGCCGGAAAGTTATACACTTACTCTCCCCGGTGATACATGTAATTTAATCTTTTCATACCATATTATTAAACAACCGATGCATATTTTAATTATAAATTTTGTATGAAGAATATTTATTGAAAATACAATTACAAAAAATGTTTACCTTCTCTTGATGGTAATTTATTGTTTAATTCCATCATAGGCTTTCTTTCTGACGAGACAGGTTTTGTGTTCTTATACTTTTTGTTTCGTAACCTACAGGAAACATAAGACAAAAAACATGAAAATATATAAAATTGTTCGTTACTTAACGTAAAAATCAAATTAAAGATAGCTCAGAAATCGATGATAAGACATCACTCACTTTGTTTTACATTAATTTTACTGCAGAAAAAAAGACAAGTACCTCATGGTTAAGACAATCAATACAAAGAGGATGGTAACAACAGTAATTGCACCAAGAACCCCTCCAACTGTCAGTGCTTTTACAGAAGTGCTTTCAGTAATGAGAAGAGAAGTTCCTTAACAAAAAAGACAATGATATGTGTGAATAATCTTTAGTAACAGAGGGAAATGTACTGAACAAAAGTTGTTTCAATAAATTCTGAAGTTCTGTTCATTGAATTGAAATTGGATTTTAAGGTAAATTAAAAAGAAAATATGTTTTTTAACTGTTAGAATATTAAATAAATTCTACAAAGAAGACTAAGAAATTAAAAAAACACCCACTCTGATTACAAAATTCTCCATGAAATGGTTTTTTGCATTCTGCAAAACAACTTCCGTTAAATCTATCACAAGTGTCATTGACACAACTTCGGCTGCAGGTATGAGCACAATTTTTGCCATATGTGGTAGGATGACAGCCTAAAAGAATGATTTGCAGGCATGGTAAGTATTTCATATAAATTTCATAAACTGAAAATACATTTATATGTTAAAGATTTTTTTGCATATGTAAATATATATAATTATTTACTTTTGTTGCAGTACGGAGAACCCATCCAACCGAAACTGCAGACACAAGAACCATTAGTATGGCTACATGCACTTGTGCATTTTGAAGAACAAACACCAGAGCAATTTCTACCATAATGGTTGACTCTACACGCTAAAATATGGCTTAAAATTGAACACCATTCTTTATTATGATTCAATATCTGATAAGATGATTAAAACAAATGGTGAAATGTAAACATATAAAATTCTTTCAAAACAAGTTGCTTATAAGAGGTTACATATATTACGTGTGATACAAGTTTTTCCAGTATAGCCATCTTTACATCCAAGAGAACAAATCCCGTCTTTATGATTACAATGGCTATTTTCAGCACAGTGTCCACTACAACGCTCTTTGCATTCTTTTCCAAACCATCCAGGTTTACATTCTGTAAAGGTGAGCAATTTGCTGTAAAAGCTACAACAAGCAGGTACTCGTACTACATAGTACTCAATATTTTGTATTCCCTTCCTAACCATCAAATTGTTCACTATTTAAAATAAGTAATTGTATGTACATACTGCAGATTCGAGTATTTATATAATGTCAGTAATTATTTACCTACCATTTATACAAAAATATCCAGTATATCCATTACTACATCCCGAGTCACAGTGCCCAGTTTCTTTGTTACATGGTTTGTCATTCAAGCAATGTCCACTGCAGTAGGAAGTACAATTTATACCATAACGTCCAGTGTCACAAGCTGTAATTAGATAATTACATGTACTAATGGTGAATGGATGGCATGACTTAATTTTCATATATAATATAAAGATGTATAAACCATTTGTGAAAAATAAATTTCTTTCATTTTATTCGTTACGCTAAACATCAGTAAAACATATTTAACAAATCTTTGAAATAGTTATACATATTCCAATATATATATACACAAGAGGCCCATGGACCACATCGCTCACCTGAGCACTTTGGCTAGGAAAAAAGCAGAAATCTTTTCAGTATTGAAAAGTTCAAATATAAAAGTGATTGGGGGAGGGGGGGGCGTGATTTGAACAAACTTTAATCTACACTACCTGAGGATGCTTCCATATACATGTAACTTTGACTAATCATGGCTTAATTAGATTTTTAAGCATTTTTCCTATACGTTTGATCTACCATTGTGGCCTTGGCCTACCCCGGGGATATGATTTGTACACACTTGAATCTACACTACCTGAAGATGTTTCTGGAGTAGTATGACTTATCATGGCCTTCCTGTTATTGAGAAGAACATTTTTATTGATATATCCTTTATATTCATTTGTATAACTGTGATCCCCTGTTGTGGCCCATCTCTACTCCTGGAGAGTCATGATTTGAGCAAAATTGAATCTACAATACCTGAGGATGCCTTCTATAATAATATGACAAATCATGACTTAATTTACTGTTCTTGAGAAGATGTTTCTTATGTAATCTTATGTAAAACTTTGATCGTTCATTCTGGCTCCACCCTACCCCTGGGGGATATTATTTGAACAAACTAGAATCTACACTACCTGAGGATGCCTCCATATAAATATGATCAATAATGGCTGAACTGATCTTAAGAAGAAGATTTTTAAAGATTTTTCCTATGTTATCCTATGTAAAACTTTGAACACCCATTGTGGCCCCACACAACCCCTAGGGGTCATGATTTGAACAAACACTTCCAGAAGATGCTTCCATATAAATATGACCTATCATGGCTTTGCTGTTCTTGAGAAGAAGATTTTTAAAATTTTTCCAATGTAATCCTATATAAAACTTCGATCACCCATTGTGGCCCCACCCTACCCCTGGGGGTCATTATTTGAACAAATTTGATTTTATACTACCTAAGAATGCTTCCATATCAAATCTAAATTTATGAATCATGCAGTTTAATTCATAGATTTTGTGAGGAGGGGGGATTTAAAAAATTAATTATTTGGAAATGTCTAAATATATGGTCAGTTAAATAATGCGACTGTTTTGTAATATTTCTTGACAACTGACTGAGTTTTGAAATGACAGATTTTCGTAAGGTGGTACACATGTAAGTACGAAGTATGAATTCCATTCTGGTTCAATGCCAAGGAATTGGATATGCTAAGCCTTGTAAAGCTTTACAGATTCCGGAAATATACCCCCCCCCCCACGGCCCTTGCACTGCCGCCAAAATAAACAAAAATGCAAGCATATTGTTCCCCTTTTGTGCCGTGTACTTTCAGCATTATATTTAATTTTCTGGCTGCATGTATAAATAAAACCTTATCCTAAACTCAACAGTGATTTTTTAATCAAAACAAATAAAATCATATTTATGCATAATTCGATGACAAGTTTAACAATATATTATTCCAAACTGATTACTGAGATTATAAGATCAGTGATGAATCGAGATTTAAGCATGATAATTAAACTGTAAAGACATGCAATGCTTTGATACGATTAATGACAATGATAACTTGTTCATGACTTTAGTGATTAAAATTTCCAGATAAAGCTTAAACCTTTTGAACTATATAAAAAAAAGCAATACATAAATACCAAAGAGTTGTGTTTTCGAAATATTGAAAATAAATAGCCATTAATGTAGTTTAGAAAACGAAAAAAGTTTTCTTTTCATGTTACAGTATTGTATATGTTTTGAAAATTCATTTTTTCATTAAAGTTTCACATTTCTAATTGTTAAAAAAAATGGATTCAATGTAAATCTCTCTCTCTCTCTCTTTCTCTCTCACATCAGATTTACATTTCTCTCTCATATCAGATTTACATAGACCTGTTCCTTCTTTTATTTAAGTTAGAACAGTTTTATTTCATTCGGTTGTTTTTGTTTGCTTTAATCACTCTAAATTGGTGTGACTTTGTGCAACAACAAAGTAAGACAAAATAATATTTTAAAAGTTTCATTTTATTTTACTTTATTAAATTATGGTTATGATTATTATTTAAATTTAAAAAAATCGATTATTTCATGTAAAAGTTGATAGCCATAGATTACAGATTAAAAAAAAAAACATTTTGAAAGTCTGGTTCAATTTTGCATTTAGTTCTCATTCTGTATTTTCTTCTATTCTACTTGAACAAGACCTTGTTCCCAAAGCGTGCAAAAATATTTTTATTCAAAAAATTATTATGATGCTATCAATTAAAAGTGATAAAAGATATCTTTTATATTTCGGGAGCAAATTCCTGTGAGCATGGTGAGCTGAAATGAAATGAAATGTCCTTCTCTGGTACCCCTCTTACTAGTTCATCGATTGTCAGAGTTATCTCTCCTGTTTTTATTTACAGAAAATACTAATATCTGGTCTGTCATTCTAACGTATTTTTGCTAAATTTGTGAAAACTTGAAAATAATTCTTTTCCAATGGAAGAAGTTTGTTAAGTTTCAATTTTTGTTACAAAACATTTAACAAAAGTTTAAGCAAAATACACCTACGAATTCAATGTTTACATGATCACGATGTACATGTTGAGAATGGTGGAGCGGATCTTATAAACGAAAAGAATATTCTTCTGCAATTTTTTAACATTACCCGTGTCTAACATATAACCTGGTCTAAATATCCAAATCGCATTTGTTTATTTATATATGCAATCAGAAAAACACCTGTCTTCAGCTTCCATAGAAAAGTTATAGGTAGGCCTAGCTATATAAGCCTGCATGTAGATCAGAGACATATAATATATGTATGTAGCTAAGAAACCAGTCTCGAATAAAATTCTAAATATTTCATAACTATGAAAATCAGTGGACTAGGAGATTCAGATATAAATTAAATATATAAAGGAAAATAAATTATCCATATGTTAGAAACAACTACAAAAGCTAGATCGACAGGTCGAAACGTCAAAACACGTGGATAAAAAAAAAATCTGCGTCGACGTTCACCGTCAATCTGCAACATCACATCTTTGTTATTTCTCTGTTTTAGTAAAAATGCCATAAGGCCCTTTTGTCATGGCCGCAATCAAATATGATCAATAATGACTTTGCTGTTCTTGAAAACATTTTTACAGATTTTTTCCTATGAAATCCTATGTAAAACTTTGATCATCCATTGTGGCCCCACCCTATCCCTTGGAGTCATGATTTAAACAAACTTAATTTAAACTACCTGAAGATGATTCCACAACAGTTTGATATTTTCTAACCAAGTGGTTCTTGAGAAGATTTTTAAAAGATACCATAAATTTTTCACTAAATCATTATTACAATGTATCTCCCATTGGAAGAAGGCGTGGCTCTTCATTTAAACAACTTGAATCCGCTTCACCCAAGGATACCCTGTGCCAAGTTTGGTTGAAATTGGTTCAGTGGTTCTTAGAAGATGAAATTGTGAAAAGTTTACGACAACGACGGCAACAACGACGACAAGGACAAAACGACAGACTACGGACAAATTTTGATCAGAAAAGCTCACTTGTGCCTTTGGCTCAGTTGAGTAAAAAGTGAATTTAACGTAAATGATACAAACAAAAAATTAAATGGTTGGCCCTTAATCGTGCTTTGGAAAATGCATACAGCGAAGTCATTCATATCATACTATATGCTGGTATTAATTTTATGACTGAATGAAACACAATACTTTCTCGGTATCGTCGATGATATATTTATAGAATTGATGAATATGACCTTTTGTTTTATCTATTTATTCTATTAATATTCATTATTTATAGAAATATACAATTGCAAATAAGGATGTTTCATGTCTGAATCAACTTCAAATTTTCAAAATGTACTTGTCACTTAAAAAGAATACATTGCAGTCTTACTTTTGTTGCACATAGTCCCAGTCCATCCCGAAACACAGCCTCTTACGCATTCACCTGTAACGTGATCACAAGGAGTTCTATCTTTGCAATGTCCCGAGCACTGAAATTTACACTCTTGACCGTGTGACCCTCTAGGGCAAGCTATTTAAACAACAAGAAAAAATGTTGAAACAATGTAGGGGATAACAATTACAAATATCCGAAATATGTTTATTTTCTCATAAAAATAAACCTCACAAGTTTGGCAGTTTTCTCCCTCCCATCCAGGTTTGCATTTCATACACTTTCCATGGATAATGTCGCATCCAGTTCCAAAGCAATTAGTGGGACAATTCAGATCACAATTTATTCCATACTTTCCTCTAGAGCACCCTGTTTAGGAAATGTTTCGACATTTAGAAACAAGAAAACAATAACAACAACAACAACAAAAGAAGAAATGACTTCTTTATTTTTACCTTTAACTACAACCTCACACAATTGAGAGTAAGACTGCATTTCATATTCCTTTGGGTACGTCACTCCACTCAGTCTTTCATTGTAGTAGATGACATATCGACCATATCCGATACAGTTTGATGTAAAATTTAATGGAGGTAACTCCGGTCCGTCTTTGTAACACATATATCCGTCTTGTTTTTTAGTAGAGTTTGAGAGATAAAGAGAAAATCCAGCAAATCTCCCCCTCTGTCTCAGGACTAATAGAACAAAAGCATTTGAACATGTTTCATAAGTAAAATATCACAGGCTTATTAAATTATTATAAATCGATCTTTTAATATGATTATTCTCTGTAGTTATACTAATTTGTTTATCAGATTGCGGAAATTTGCTTCTATTCTATATGCGTTTATTGCAGTTTTATATCTTAGGCCATTCCAAGTTTTTCCATGTTTAGCGTCCGCGTGCGCCTTGGTTTTTGACACCCCATATCAGAAAAAACAAACAAAATCAGGAGTCCTGGAATTGTTTATTCTGGTCGAAATCACTGAATTCTGTGAATTAATCTAAGTATTTGTCTAAAATATGTCATATTTGGAATATTGTAAGCATTTAAAACTTTGATTTTGCTGAAGAATAGATATTCCTATAGAATAGATATAGAAAAATAGATTAATGGAATCAAATCCTTTGGATGACATCATTTTTATAACTATAAAGACTTGTGTTTTACTTTTTGGTTTGTGTGTTTTTTGCGAATAGGTAGATAGGTATTTGAAAGATGGGTAGACGCTAAACATAGAAAAAACTTGGAATGGCCTTAATGATCATACAATGTATGGTACCTTTGAGACTTGACCTCGAGCCAGACATATATAGGATCACCTAAAGCTTATCAGCAGTGAATAACGTTTAATTGAATTAATTCCAATGATTGTTTTCAGAAGAATTGTGTTGACTCGATATTTGTTTTATACACTTCTATACACCACCTCAAGGTCTGCGCGTGTACTTTGCAATATGACATTTTTATATATATGAGTGGATCCATTTTTACCAAACTTATGCTATAAAAAATAAAGTGAAACCATTAATTTTCATGGGAGTTAAGTATTGCACTGTTTTCGTAGTGTGGTGAGACCTACGAATTCATGTCCTCCACGAAATGTATGATTTCAAATAAATATGGAATTTCATTTTATTTTATTCATTTTATAATGGAAGTGATTGAAAATTACAGGTGAAAATATAGAGGCTTCTTGAATTTTCTTAATAAAAAGATATTTTAAAAATTCATGATTAGTAACACTATTAGATTTGAAACGGACGGTTGTAAATGTGTGTGTGTGGGGGGGGGGGGGGGGAGGAGACATTTTATTAATCATTATCATTTCAATTCTTGATACTCACTGTGGAAATGATATCATAATTACGATTGCTTGAACTTTTATAAATCTTTGTGTAAAAGTTTAATTGATTTTACTGGATATTTAGTGTTTTTATTGATGATTTCTTGATCATGATGATCATCGTCAAAATTCGGTCATTTAATAAGTTTTGTGAAAATCATGGGAACACTCGGACATAGACACATATATTAACGATATAGGCAGAAGAAAAGTACAGTAAGCAAGTGATTTTCATGTGACGTAGAAAATTTAATTAAAATAGAACTTCGGATGATGAAAGGTCTAGCAGCAAGATAGCGGGGTAATTGGTCAGTTTGTGAAGTTTAAATTACTGTTTTTAACACACCATGTCAGTACCCTGATGTCCTGTAATTCTTAAATGATATTAAATAAATCACCGTTGAGCACTGTGAATTAGTATGTTTGTCTTTTGTCGTTATCTATTAAAATATTTTTATTAGACAAACATTGAAAATTAAGTGGAAGTTCAGACATAGTTTTGATTATGGTGACAATACAAAATAAACTTGTGTGACATCTCCTCTGGAAAATTATCAATGTTCGACTTTACAGGCATGAATGTTTCATGTTTTTCTTATTCTGTCTGTTGGAATTGAAATAAAATATATGTACATGTAGTTTGCTATTTAGGAAAAGAACTAGGTTGGTCGAGTGATCAAATGCTGTAAAGCCCGAAAGGCCAGTGAACATTTTAACAATATTGTTTATTACTTATATTTACATTTGAGACTAACATTCCGAATAGAATTGCATTTATTACACGAACGGCCCGCCGTATTGCTATGTTGTGACACGCATTGACCTAGAAGCAGTTTGGTCTTGAAGTTCACCTCGCTCCAACATTTGAATATTTACATTGATTTTCAGCACTCCAGTTCAAGAAATCTCTTGTTTATAATGAAAAAACAATGATCGCTACTGTGAATAGTATTATTATTATTATATGAGTTCTTTATGTATGAAGCCAAAAGCGGTGGTATCGTCTGCAGTTTACATGCTTTCAAATAAATATTAGGTTAAAAAGGTAAGCGCGATTTAAGGCTAATTAAAAACATTCTTCACACCGAAGAGAGATCTAATGATCATTTGTTGACCGAAAAAAATCTAATATATATATATATATTACCTATTGTGGTCCTGAACTTTTTTGATGGCTTCAATGATTGTTTTTCAGTGAACATCGTTTAATATGGTCTTTTATCTTCAAATCATTTTTACATTATTTAGTTTATATACGGCAGCGAAATCGGACGTGCATAGAAATGCCGCTACCCACTTCAAAATAAGTAGATTCAAAAAGTTTCCATAGTGTAGACTAGCGATCCAAACAACTTCCGTTCCAGTCTAATCATCACAAACCTGCGTAACAGATTCTCCTCCTTTTGCGTTGATGAAATAGATCCTAAACAAGAACTGTAAACCATTTGTAATTTTTGATGTATTAATTGCGTCATTTGTGTTTATCTAATAAATAAATTTCCGTTGGACTCCATGTTCATATACATTCATAAAACGTGATTAAAACGGCTTTGAGGTTTTACAAATTAACAATTAAAAATTAACAAACTTGTTTTTACATTTTTACTGAGTACCCGGGTACTCGATCGGAAAAACGTCCGAGTAACCGATTATCAAAAATTGACCGATTTGACATCCCTTATATATATATATATATATATATATATATATATATATATATATATATATATATATATATATATATATATATATATATATATTTACAAATAATTACAAATTCTGTACAGATCTTGGGAATGCAAATGTTACAGCTTTGTATTTATTGTATAGCCAAAGAAAATATCGTCTCTAAAGGAACGGATGCTACCGTTGTCGCTAGTTATTCATGTATAGGTTTTTGTTTTCATTTACTCCGCACAGCCGATTTTTATCATTTTTTTTTAATCTTTAGTTCTTCTTAATTATTTCCACAGTTTTTAAGTAGATGGCAATATATATATGTCTTTTTAATTTTACTACCCAATACAAACTGAATGATTTAAAGATATAAAACCATAAACGATGCTCATTGAAACAAGAGGCCCAAGAGCCACTTTGCTCACCTGAGCAAATTGGCTAGGAAGAAGCAGAAATCAATTCAGTATTAAAGGGGGGACTTTAATTTTTCACTACCCCAGGGTGCTTCCATATAAATATTACTAATGATGGCTTTGCTGTTCTTAAGCAGAAAAATCTTAAAGATTTTTATGCCCCCGGATCGAAAGATCCCGGGGGTATATTGTTTTTATCCTGTCTGTCTGTCTGTTTGTCTGTTTGTCTGTCTGTCTGTTGTCAACTTTAACCTTGCCTATAACTTTTGATTGGTTGGAGCTATGTCTTTCATATATCACATGTGTATTCCTTGTGACAAGACCTTTCTTTGGGTATCATAAAATTTGAACTTTTGACCTTGGAGTTTGACCCACTTTTGCAAAATTTAACTTTTAAGAGACTTTAACCTTGGCCATAACTTCTGAACAGTTGGTGCTTGGGGTTTCAAACTTCACATGTGTATTCTTTGTGACAAGGCCTTCCTTTGGATACCAACAACTTTGACCTTTTGACCTTGACCTTGAAGTTTGACCTACCTTTGAAATATTTTAACCTTGACCATAACTTTTGAACAGTTGGTGCTTGGGGTTTCAAACTTCATTGCTTACTTGTTCTTGAGAAGAAGATTTTATAGATATTTCTATATAACGTGTATGCTCGGATTCTTACAAGGGATATATAGGTTTTCCTTTTACTCTGTCTGAGGGTATATCACACAGTACTTAAATTTTCTCTTATCTGGAGACGGAGACTGGGTAAGGTAATACTTGCACCGTGTTTCTCATTTAGGTTCCCATTGACACATAAGAACCGGGTGTCTCAATCTTCTTCAGGTTTACTACACCTAGAATTTAAAATCAGTTCCTTAGGATACTTGCCACTGGTGTTTTACATCTTTTACACTTTTATTTTGCTCTTACTCCTAAGTTTTCCATCCCTAATATGACCAAATTCTCTATCCTTAAATGTCCATCACGTACATAACATTCTGATATTAGTTTAAAGCATTTTACAGTCGAAAAGGATTTACCAAGAGAAAGTTTCAAAAATGTAATTAACAAAGCAGTAATTAATTAACAATTATTGCATTGAAAGTCTATGGGGAGAAGAAATTTTTTTAAGGAAGCTCTAAACACTGCACGCTAAAGAGTTTTCCGGTGGGTCGGTAATTTTTGGTAGTTGGAGTGATCCGCCCTTTGTATTTATTCGGGAAAAAATTCCGATAATATTCAAAAAATATGAAAATGAATTACCCCCCTTACCGCTCTTTAGGGTGAAAAAGGTAGAAATAGTGTAAATTTGTGAGGGCGACGAAATCATGGCAGACAAGTCTGACAACACTTCGTCTATTTTGAGAAGACGGTATAAAAGCGGAAGATTTCGGTCAAAATTTAAGTCTGCTACAACTTCAGTTCCTTCAACTGAGGCAACGGAAAGAAAAACGTTAGAGGATTCAAGGTAAACTTTACGATAATCGTTGCTAATAAGGCTTTCGGAAAGTTGTAAAACAATATCATTGCGTCCTTAGAAGTAGAATGTTTTGTTATTATTATATTTATTGAAATTTTGTTAAGGATGGATCATGGTTATGCAAGACCATCAGTTCCTATTCATGCTAACAGTATTTTGAGTATCAGCGTTGACGAGGGTTGGTCAGAATATGACGAGGAGGATGAGGAAGAAATAGATATGTACGATAGATATTACAGTGGCGATGATCTGTCTGTAGACGACGTTAATGAGGAAGACACTTTACA